AGATAAAAATACTCTTGGAACTTTACTTAATGCTATTCGTGGATCTTAGTCAGTTTTCTTAAGATGGTAACTATATGATACAGATACAGAAGTCAATAAAGACCCTGTGTTAGACTGTTAATAAAGATAAAAATACTCTTGAAACTTTACTTAATGCTATTCGTGGATCTTAGTCATTTTTCTTAAGATGGTAACTATATGATACAGATACAGAAGTCAATAAAGACCCTGTGTAGACTGTTAATAAAGATAAAAATACTCTTGAAACTTTACTTAATGCTATTCGTGAATCTTAGTCAGTTTTCTTAAGATGGTAACTATATAATACAGATACAGAAGTCCATAATGACCCTGTGTAGACTGTTAATAAAGATAAAAATACTCTTGAAACTTTACTTAATGCTATTCGTGAATCTTAGTCAGTTTTCTTAAGATGGTAACTATATAATACAGATACAGAAGTCAATAAAGACCCTGTGTAGACTGTTAATAAAGATAAAAATACTCTTGAAACTTTACTTAATGCTATTCGTGAATCTTAGTCAGTTTTCTTAAGATGGTAACTATATAATACAGATACAGAAGTCAATAAAGACCCTGTGTAGACTGTTAATAAAGATAAAAATACTCTTGAAACTTTACTTAATGCTATTCGTGAATCTTAGTCAGTTTTCTTAAGATGGTAACTGTATAATACAGATACAGAAGTCCATAATGACCCTGTGTAGACTGTTAATAAAGATAAAAATACTCTTGGAACTTTACTTAATGCTATTCGTGGATCTTAGTCAGTTTTCTTAAGATGGTAACTATATGATACAGATACAGAAGTCAATAAAGACCCTGAGTTAATAAATAATAGACTGTTAATAAAGATAAAAATACTCTTGGAACTTTACTAAATACTATTCGTGGATCTTAGTCAGTTTTCTTAAGATGGTAACTATATGATACAGATACAGAAGTCAATAAAGACCCTGTGTAGACTGTTAATAAAGATAAAAATACTCTTGGAACTTACTTAATGCTATCGTGGATCTTAGTCAGTTTTCTTAAGATGGTAACTATATGATACAGATACAGAAGTCAATAAAGACCCTGTCTGGACTGTTAATAAAGATAAAAATACTCTTGAAACTTTACTAAATACTATTCGTGGATCTTAGTCAGTTTTCTTAAGATGGTAACTATATGATACAGATACAGAAGTCAATAAAGACCCTGTGTTAATAAATAATAGACTGTTAATAAAGATAAAAATACTCTTGAAACTTTACTTAATGCTATTCGTGAATCTTAGTCAGTTTTCTTAAGATGGTAACTGTATAATACAGATACAGAAGTCCATAATGACCCTGTGTAGACTGTTAATAAAGATAAAAATACTCTTGGAACTTTACTTAATGCTATTCGTGGATCTTAGTCATTTTTCTTAAGATGGTAACTATATGATACAGATACAGAAGTCAATAAAGACCCTGTGTAGACTGTTAATAAAGATAAAAATACTCTTGAAACTTTACTTAATGCTATTCGTGAATCTTAGTCAGTTTTCTTAAGATGGTAACTATATGATACAGATACAGAAGTCAATAAAGACCCTGTGTAGACTGTTAATAAAGATAAAAATACTCTTGGAACTTTACTTAATGCTATTCGTGGATCTTAGTCATTTTTCTTAAGATGGTAACTATATGATACAGATACAGAAGTCAATAAAGACCCTGTGTAGACTGTTAATAAAGATAAAAATACTCTTGGAACTTTACTTAATGCTATTCGTGGATCTTAGTCATTTTTCTTAAGATGGTAACTATATGATACAGATACAGAAGTCAATAAAGACCCTGTGTAGACTGTTAATAAAGATAAAAATACTCTTGAAACTTTACTTAATGCTATTCGTGAATCTTAGTCAGTTTTCTTAAGATGGTAACTGTATAATACAGATACAGAAGTCCATAATGACCCTGTGTAGACTGTTAATAAAGATAAAAATACTCTTGGAACTTTACTTAATGCTATTCGTGGATCTTAGTCAGTTTTCTTAAGATGGTAACTATATGATACAGATACAGAAGTCAATAAAGACCCTGATTTAATAAATAATAGACTGTTAATAAAGATAAAAATACTCTTGGAACTTTACTAAATACTATTCGTGGATCTTAGTCAGTTTTCTTAAGATGGTAACTATATGATACAGATACAGAAGTCAATAAAGACCCTGTGTTAATAAATAATAGACTGTTAATAAAGATAAAAATACTCTTGGAACTTACTTAATGCTATCGTGGATCTTAGTCAGTTTTCTTAAGATGGTAACTATATGATACAGATACAGAAGTCAATAAAGACCCTGTCTGGACTGTTAATAAAGATAAAAATACTCTTGAAACTTTACTAAATACTATTCGTGGATCTTAGTCAGTTTTCTTAAGATGGTAACTATATGATACAGATACAGAAGTCAATAAAGACCCTGTGTTAATAAATAATAGACTGTTAATAAAGATAAAAATACTCTTGAAACTTTACTTAATGCTATTCGTGAATCTTAGTCAGTTTTCTTAAGATGGTAACTGTATAATACAGATACAGAAGTCCATAATGACCCTGTGTAGACTGTTAATAAAGATAAAAATACTCTTGGAACTTTACTTAATGCTATTCGTGGATCTTAGTCATTTTTCTTAAGATGGTAACTATATGATACAGATACAGAAGTCAATAAAGACCCTGTGTAGACTGTTAATAAAGATAAAAATACTCTTGAAACTTTACTTAATGCTATTCGTGAATCTTAGTCAGTTTTCTTAAGATGGTAACTATATAATACAGATACAGAAGTCAATAATGACCCTGTGTAGACTGTTAATAAAGATAAAAATACTCTTGAAACTTTACTTAATGCTATTCGTGAATCTTAGTCAGTTTTCTTAAGATGGTAACTGTATAATACAGATACAGAAGTCCATAATGACCCTGTGTAGACTGTTAATAAAGATAAAAATACTCTTGGAACTTTACTTAATGCTATTCGTGGATCTTAGTCAGTTTTCTTAAGATGGTAACTATATGATACAGATACAGAAGTCAATAAAGACCCTGTGTTAATAAATAATAGACTGTTAATAAAGATAAAAATACTCTTGGAACTTTACTTAATGCTATTCGTGGATCTTAGTCATTTTTCTTAAGATGGTAACTATATGATACAGATACAGAAGTCAATAAAGACCCTGTGTAGACTGTTAATAAAGATAAAAATACTCTTGGAACTTTACTTAATGCTATTCGTGGATGTTAGTCAGTTTTCTTAAGATGGTAACTATATGATACAGATACAGAAGTCAATAAAGAGCCTGTGTAGACGGTTGAGTGCATGCATTCACTCAATTCGAAATCTATTCATATAAGAATTTCCTACTTACAAATTTTTGAATGTAATAGAAACAAAAACCGCTTTTGCGTGACAAGGTAGATATAAAACTTCTATCAATCATTGTAGCTACAAGATTAGCATCTAGATTAAACCTATTAATATCTCATTTATTAAACATATAATAGACGTTCAATATAATCTGCAAAAATTTATTGACATTTTGAAATTTTTTGTTTATTTATATTTATCAGTACCTTTACTTATCTCGATAAACTTTTCTAAACTATGCTTAAGCTTTCTTAGTCTCTTCAAGTAGTGCCTTGTACAAAAATCTTTAAAACATCCATTTGCAACGGATCTAGGATCCAGATCTGGTGCATAAACCATTGCCAATCGTTTTTATAATATTTAATATATTTCGTTATTAATTTATAGCTCCTGTCTTTGTACGACCTCTTTCGATATAGTTAGCCAACGACACATTCTTGCCATTCCAAAAACCTATAACTATGAGCTTTCACATATACCAGTACAGACATTGTCTACTTTGAAGATGTTTCAACTTTTTTGATGGCTTTACGATCTCAAAAATACAGCGGTGGATCAAGAAGAGCCTAATTTTGTGTAAAGCATTGTGCATTATTCACTAAACATAGTTCTTTAAGCAAAGACTGTGGAACAGCCACAGTCTTAGCAAACTTCATGATTTTTATTCGACGATTATTTGAGTAAACAATTGATTGAGTCGGAGTAAACAATTTTTGTCGCTCTGTCTACAACATGTACCCCTGATCTTACAACTGTTGCATATGATGAGACAAATTCCCTATAAAATATTTGTTAATTTTTTGTAATTTGCAATGGATTATTTTATACATATTCATATTCAGATTCAATTTGTAATTGAATCACAGTGCGATACATATTTTTCTACATTTTCACAAATACATGAAGTTGCATTTCTTGGTCTACATCTGGGCTGTCCAGATCAGATGCAATCACGGGCCAATACAAAACACTATACAGATTGGAGGGCCGATTACAGATTAGCTGGTAACTTTTACTGATTAAGCCTGTTTTCTGACCTTTTTGATACGCATTGCCAAACATTATTTCTAAAGCAGAATTCTAATGAAAATTAAAAAAGAAATTTCCGGTTTATGGGATAGAGTTCTGCTTTATATTATATTTACAAAGTTTAAAAGAGTATATGGATTAGATGAATTGAAAAGTATTTCAAAATGTAAATTTCAATATTTAAAAATGAATTTACAAACTATATAAAAAGAACCAAGCTCTATCCCAAAGTTTTATCCTACACCCAAATTTAGGATGACTTCGATTATTATAAGTAAAATTTAACCCTAAAATGAAACTCAATATGAGTCAACTTACCTACCTTTTAACAAAAACCAGCATTTCTTGTTAGCACAATAGACGTCATACTAACATCATCCGGACACCATATCTAATATAATACGTACATTATTATTTCAACAAGTCCCTGTGGCATCATTGCTTACCATCGTATTCTTCGTATTCATCGTGTTCATCGTTTTATAAAATAAATTCGGTTTTATAATTCATTTAGCAAAATAGCATAAAAAATTTATTTACTTTTTTGGCATAGAAATACTAAAAGTTACTACCGGTTAAGTACGCATATTCGAATATTTTTGGATTTCTACGAATTTGGGTGATTCATCATTTTTGAAGCGCAAATTAACTTACACACACATAAAAAGTACAGAGAGTATAAATATTAAGTACACTAATACATTGACAAGTTAAAATTAGTAAATTAATGTCTAATAATTCTTATTAATCTTTTTGTTCGTTCATGGAATGTCCATTTAGCGGAATGGTTTCCAGTATGTCACCTTTTACTTGCATCTCCTTGCCATTCTCTACGTAGTCACAAGCTTTAGCGTTTTTGCCAAACTTTTCGCCCTCGGCAATCGTTTCCAAAGTGGGTTTGTTGTGTGTTTCAGGCAGGTACAGAGACAGTAAGCCGCCTATAAACGCCATGGCACCAAATATAATTAACGGCAGCGGCTTATAAATTTCAGCTAACATATTGAAGAAGGGCGCCAGAATGCCCCCAATACGGGCTACCATTGAAGAAGCGCCCAAACCCACATTACGTACCACGGTGGGAAATTGTTCAGCAGAAAATATATAAATTGTGCCATAGGAAGCAGTTATGGCTAGTTTGCCTAACATCGCAAAAGCTATTATCAACCAGTTCATATTAACGGGCACTATAAGCGTTGAGAGTAACCCTAACCCAGCCACTAACATACTTCCACAAAGTATTGTACGTCGTCCCCATCTATTTAAAGTTAGTAGCAAGAAAATATAGGCAGGTATCTCAACTGCGCCTGATATGGCAAAATTCAGTAAATCATTATCACCCAAATTGCTGGTGTTCCAAGAGAGTCCATAGTAGGTGCCACTATTCACGAACCAATCAAAAAATATTAACAGAGTTTTACGTCTTAAATTTGGATACTTCAGTAAATCAAATACATCTGGTGTTTTTTCTTTGTTCACTTCAGCTTCCAATTGTTGTTTCTCTGTACTATCCACCTCTAACAGATTGTCGTAAATTTCACGCGGTACAGTCAATTTGTTAAATTTTGCTGCTTTCTCCATAATTTTTATAGCTTCATCTTTGCGTCCTTTAGATAACAGCCAACGGGCAGACTCTGGTATAACCCAATAATAGCACATGAATACCAGACCCGGCAGTGTAAGTGCTATCTGAAACCAACGCCAGTCGTGAACAAAGTATGCAAAAACGGCAGTTAGCATGAAACCCACAGAAAAGAACATCATGACGAAAATGCCAGCAAATATACGTTTTGACGGACCAACCATTTCCATAGCTATGACATAAGCAACCAAAAATACGCCTGAAGTCGTAGCTCCAACAATTAGACGGGATACTGTATATGTCAAATATTCGGGTGCCAAACCAGCCAAAATACCAAATATAACTTGGATAACTAGCGAAGCAAAAAATATAGGCTTACGTCCATATTTATCTGATAATTGTCCAAATACAATGCTGCCCAACAACACACCCAACATGAACATGGCATCACTTGTGGCGGCCAAGAAACTGCGATTGCAAACCATGTTCCATTCAGTCACTGCGCTATTCAAGTACTTCGACTTGTCGTACACATAAGCATTACACGTTGTTGTCCCATTGGCCTTGTTCGGCGTGGTACCGTTCAAGTAATCTGTTGTGTACTCTGCATTGTAGTACTCGCATGTCTGCAATTTGTTACCAAGCAAATTTGGCGGATACGAAATATTCCAAACTGTTGCCGGCAAATCGTACGTGGCGTTGACCGCATCTTCAAATGGCAGCACACAGCGAAAATCTGGTTTCGCGAGCAGAAAAACACCGGCTAATTTATGAAACGCGCATGTGATGGACGTGAGACAGATGAGAAAATAAATGATGCGCTGATATTTGCCAAAACCTCCCAAATGACTCAAGACGTCATCGTAACTCATTTTTGTTGTTTGTCCAGATCTCCGATCCCACACTTGACAATAACTAGCGCAATTTCAATTTAAAATATTAATTAAAACAATAATAAAACAAAACAATAAAAACAATAAATGAATGTTTGTTTTTTCGTTTGTTTGGTTTTATTGAATAGTGAGCGCCACCAAAAACAATAGCTGCGTTGTCAAAAGCTCAGATAGCGACTATGAAAAAGCGCCCTTTGCGGGTATGGAACAAATTTGCGTACGATAAGTAATCTAGTGGTCTCCGCCACCCGCCTGTTGGCTGTCCCAAATTAATAGCAATAGCTTACTTAATTAAAGAGCAGTTCCAGAAACGTGTATACCATTTACTTAGCACGTGTTTAACTATTAATGAAAATATCAATTGTTTTATGCAACCGCCCGCCTTTGTGTGTTTATACAAACTTCAATTTATTAAACTCGCGAATGTATTGCTCTATAAGAGGCGGCGAAATATTTAATTCACAGCACTTTTTCACTTCCAGGTTCTTTTCGATGGTTCTGTCTTCCCTCAGCCACTTGCGAGCACAGCCGAAACACAACTGCCAAAACACTGCTTCGCCGCTCTTGTATGTGAATCGACACCAAAATACTTTATATCTATGTAGATAACACACAAAAGATATACTAACGTTTACACACATAAACTCATTCATCTACGGAAGCCGAGAAACGCAGCGGCATAGTTTAGATGCTTTCCCACCCCCGCCTCAGGGACTCTTACGACTCTTATGACTGTTTCTCAACTTGTGAACGCATTGCTATTGCCCGCTCAATAACACTCCACACTCCACACGACGGCACTGTTTTTATCTACCAACACTACCAATACTGAAACGCCAACATATCTAATTCTCAATTTTCCAAAAGTTGTCATATACTCGTATGTGTAAACACGCAAAAACGAGCATAAAATTTTTGT